GAATTTTTAATTTCTAATTAATAGAGACAATTGATTTTAAAGTTTGACGGTCCCCAGCGGAGTCGCCAAGCTGTCGTAACCGGTTTTCGTCCCGGCACGAAAATATTAACTTTATGGGAAAAGTAATGTGAATAAATGGTTTTTAAAATAATTTGGGAGTCGCCATCGGCCTTTTGAGTCAGGTAGGTCGAATACCTAAAAATCATCTTTTAAAAGAGTTTTTAAGAAAACATCAGTTAAAAGATAAACTGATCTGCGTTTAACCAAAAATTCATTCTTTTTATTAATAAAAAGGGATTCGTGGTCGGTTACGTTTAGGGAAGGATTAGCACCCCTACAACGCCCAAAATTGGTACTTTTTAATTATAAATTGTCTCTATTATTAAATTTTTTTAAAAAATTCAAAAATATATTTAATTTATAATTCTATTTTTTCAAAATTATATAAAAATATTTATTTATTTAAAAATATCAGAAAAGAACTTCTAGGTGCCTTAAGACAGCTCTTTTCTTTGATATTGATAAATGTTAATTTAAATTAAATAATATTTTAAAAAAATTAATTATTAAATTTTAAAATACCAGAATAGGACATCCAGTTGTATTAAGACTGTCCTTTTCTTCGATATTGAAAAATAAATTTTGAAATAATTTATTTGAAATAAATATTTATTATTATATATATTTATGACTATATAATAAAAATATAAACAAATAAAATTAAAATAAAAATAAAATTGGAGCTATATATTTAAAAGCAATAAAATAAATGAAAACATTTAAAATAAATGACTAAATTATAGTAAAATTAAAAACCTAATTCATAATTACTCAAAATTACAGGGATTAAATATGCTATTTTCTTATTTAATAATTTAGTGACTAAAATAAACTTATCTAAAATTCGAATATAAGATTAAAATAAATTAAAAATATAAACTAGGGATTAAAATATTATTTATTAGAGTTAAGGGACTAAATATATTATTTATCCTAAATATTTAAACATACAGGCTAGGACTAAAATGAAATAAAATAAATTACGAGACGAAATTAAAACGTATAAGAATTGATTTTAGTGACAAAAATAGAAATTTACAAATCTAGGATGACTACGCGAGAGGTTTGACCCATGCGCGAAATTACAGATATACCCCTGCCCAAAACGGCGTCGTTTGGGAGGGGTATATAAGACCAAATGGCTGGCCCGTAGGGCCAGCATCCCTCATTTCTTCTCTGCTTCGTCTCTCTCTAACCGAGAGAGTTTATAAAACTCTCTCGCCTCTCTCTAACCGAGAGAGTTTCCGGCAGTCGCCGGACACCGTACTCCGGTGTCGGTCTCCACCGCCGGCCACCACACGCGGTGGCCGGATTTTTCCTAAATACCCCAAATAACCTCCTAAACCCTATTAGGCCGAATCCGGCGTTAGTTTCCCCTAAAAAACTCCCGATCGGAGTAGATCTGAAGAAATACCTTCGGGTATTTCAAATAGTTTGGTCGGCCTGTAGCGTCTTCGATCACCGGTGGCTTCCTTGGTAAGCTTTCCTTTCTTTCTTGGTTTCTGTTTTGGTCTGTTTTTCTGTTGGTCTCCGTTGCTCTCTGTGGCTGTCCCTTCTCTTTCTTGCAGGTGGGGTGGCTTTTATAGCCACCACCGAGGCTCTTGTTGGACCGGTTCCAGAGATGAAAGGCCCGGTGAGTCACCATAGCTATGGTGGTGACTCACCATAGGGCTCAACGTGGGTAGCTTCGTGACGTTCTGGAGTGTCGGCAGCAGCTGTTGGACCACCTGGACTCATCGGAGGCGGCTGGAAGCATCTAGAAACGGCTGGCTGCTAGGGTTAGAAACCCTAGGGTTTCCTATCTGGAACTCTTTTGGGCCGTTGGATCTTGCTAGATCCAACGGCTGATGATGTTGACGGCGGCTGGGGGCTAGGGTTTGAAAACCCTAGCTGAAACCCTAAATCAGTTTAGGGTTTCCATTTGGGTATGGGTCGGTTCTGGTTGGGCCTGGTATTTGGGCTTGTAAATGGGCTTCCAGTTTTGTAATTATTTATTAAATAATAATAATATATAATATTAATAATAATTATAATAATTATAATAATAATAATACTAATAATAATATTTAATAATAATAATAATAATAAATTTAATAATAATAATAAATTTAAATGAAAAAAAATGATGTCTACAGTATTATAGCACATTGCCATTGTCCCATTGCTTCTACAGGATGAAACTGCAGATCTGCCTTAGCATGAACTATATGATTTGCAGAATTGTTTCATCTATGTGATAATTGAAACCAGCAAAGAATATCAATTCGGGCAATTAATTATCTTTGTGTAAGTATAAAATTTAACTTTGAATCCATTTTCTAACGTTTGAACTGGATTAATGATTAATGAACTTAACAAGCATGGTTGAGCATGAAAGAAAAGTAACTAGTTGAAGAATAAGTAGGAGAAAGAAATATTTAATGAGAAACTAATTCTCGGAATTCGAACTCAATACTTGATATTTCATCAATAAAGTTAATTGCTGGTGCTGCAGGCTTTTCCAAAATAGAATGATAATTGCAAATTACAGAGCGCTGAGTTGTAGACAAAATGGATTACAGATTCAAGATGGAATAATTAATCTGTATTTTGTGGAAACATCATGTTCTTCCATTATCTTCTAAACATATTGTTGAGATTCATTCACATTAAAGTTTAAATAAGAATAGGAATATGAGAAGCTTCCTTATTAATATTATTACAGCTTACAAACCCTTTTTTCATTGCATGTGGCATTCTCATGGAAGTTGTAGTGTGACGGGAGAGCTTAGAACCTACTATTCCATCCACCCACTTAACCTCAATAAAAAATGAGTTTGATTCCTTTGGTTATTTGATTATTTGAGATAAGATGGAATTGGTTTTTGAACTTCAACCCTCGTCTTATATCTGAACTAATGGTCCACAAAATTCAAAACCAAATCCTTTTGTGTAGAGCAGTCAGCGGCTCAATATTCACGCGCATTAAAAGAAGAATTTCGATTGCTTTGAAAATGAGTTGCCATAGCAGGCACTAAATCTTCCTATTTCAGGAGCAGCGCCACCAAAGTAGACGCCGATTAGACCAAGATTTCTGTGTGCTTTGTCACACCGGAAATGTTGACTCCTCCACCTTCATAATTACAAACCCTTGCTTTAGACCATTATCACGTGAATATATAAATATATATATATATTTCTGACTTCTCTTTATGATAACTTAAGTTGAATTTATAAGTTTTTATTTTGAATATATCAATTTCATAAATATATACTAGTGAGAAACTTCAAATTTTACGTGACGAGTGAAAATTTTCAAACATTTTAAGAGTGTAATTAAAATTTTAAAAATTATTAAAGGGATTATTGACTAACTTCCAAAATAATGGAGGGACCAATGGCTCTCGTCTAGTTCCACCATTGCGAGAAAGCAACAGTTAATGGTAACAGACCAGTTTGAGAAGGTTCGTTATTAATATTCTATAATTACTGCTAACAAACCCCTTTCTTGTTGCTATATGGCATTTGTTGATCTTGCGATCTTGGCATGCTGCGGATCAGAGGCAGACGGTAATAGGATCCGAGATTTATTCCCAAAATTTTAGTATTTACTTTTAAAATTTTTTATTTAATCTTTTCAAAAGAAATTAAATAAATTAACTGACCCTATTCCTATATGTAATGGGGTAAGGGGAGGTAGGGCAGTAGATTGCCCCCAACGCTAGGTTAAGAACAGCTTCCGTGGAAGATCTCCGTTATAAATTGCTCTCAGTGGGACTCGATCTCACGACCACAAGGTTAAGAGCCTTGCACTCTATTTAATCTTTTTCAAAAGAAATTATTAATTTTATTTTAATTCAAAAAAAATAATTTGAATTAACTATCCATATATTCAATATATTAACCAATTAATCTAAATCAAATACTATATATACTTGATATAAGACAATCCTAATCTAATTTAAATATTCTTATTAAATCTTAAATAAACTTCACAAATTATTTTGCTTCCGACGTGCAATGCCAATAAAAGTTTTCTAGCTGGATTCAACTGTTGGGTCACGGGTGAGTTAGAACCTGCATTTTCATTCACGCTATTAATAATATTTATGTAATAAAAAGTTCTTATGCTTATATGATTATTCATATTATATATACGTTCAGGTCAAAATTCAATTAATATTTTCAAATATTAAGATTGAAAATCAATTAAATTTAAGAATTATTCGAATCAAATGATACTCTAATTTCGAATCTTTTGATCTAAAAGAAAGTTATATTTAGTATAGTTTTTAGCTGTCCAAAAATACTTTTTAATAGGAAACGAAATGCTAAACAAATTATTTTTGCTGTATAGACTGCTTTTGCAGATTGAAAAAAAAAACTGAATTTTGAAACTGAAATAATTAATAAATAAAATAATAAAAAACAGTTTTTTTTCTTTTAAGTTTGACAAAATTCCATAATACAAACAAATGTTGTGATGTATTTTCCATTTTCAAAACTCTGGAAAAAAGGGAATGTTGCCCAGAAAAATCAGCAAATATAACACCTAAACCTAAGCAAATAAAATAGTTAAGTTTATATTTACACAAATCATTATCAAATGAAATGTTCAACCCATTGGCCTCCTCAATTGAAGGAGCTTAGAATAAATAAACTATGAAGATATTATATTACACAAAAAAATCGAACACAAGAGAATGTTACAGAAGGCACTGACCTTATTCAGTTGCGACCAGCAACTGAATATTGCTTTGCGGTCTTTCCGAACAGATAGAGTGGTAACTGGGAGTCGAAGATACTCGTGACTGGGTTTTCTCCATGATCATCCCTCTTAATGTCTGCATTCTACATGATCACCAAATTTACGCATTGTCAGATCTAAATGACAAGCCAAAGAATTGCATCAAAAACAGGCAGCTAGAAGATATATGTATATAGTCTATATTACATGTAATCGGACGCAAGTATGTTCAAAGCAGCATGACAAGGAGCCATTTCCACCAATGATCTTGGCCAAAATTGAAGATATCATTTAGAGGAATCGACAAGTTCATCACTGAATATATTTGGACACCCATCCCAGTTCCCCTGTTCTCTTGCTTCCCAATAACCACCCACATAGTAGAAGGGTCCATTACCATCTTTCTGGAACCATCTAGGTTTCCAGCCATTTTCTTGCATTTTTCTCGACTGCACAGAAAAGGAATGCAGAGTGAAGATCAGCGGTAAAAGCAACAAGATACAAGATATAAATCGTTGCCAGTATGTCATAACCATATCTAACATTTTCTACCACAGAAATATAATTCATGTTACTGGTTGGAGGATTCATTTCTCATTACCATAAGGGTTGCTTCTTACAACAACATAGTTTCTAAACATGTCATTAGAAGTTCTAACGAATGTTGATATATATGATTTCTAAGTTACAACATAGCTATTGATCCTATACAAGAAAATTGAGAAGGTGCAACCATACTGTTCTCTGCCTCTTTTCCAACCGTTGTTTCTCTGTATTTGCTTTATCAAATTCCCCATTCTCCAAATGACGTTGGTCTGGTCTAAGCCTAGAATCCGTAGGTGGGAGCTTCTCCTTAATCCGTGATCAAATACCCGGGATCAGACAAAACTATAGGAAACAATTAGATATGCATAAGGGGGGAAAAGAAATTGCTTATGATTACGTGATTCAATACATCATCTCTACCTGCAGTTCAGGCATTAGCTCATTTAGTGTGATTGCAAATGATGTTAAGTTGTAACGAGTCGGATTAGGAGGTGGCTCATTCTTTTTCCATAGCAAGGAGGCATTTGAAGGACTTAAGTCCTTTGACTTGCCACTCTCATAACCATTGATATAATACATGCTGTCATCCCATTTGCCAAATAATGTAGCAACCTTATTACCCGAAAGGTCTTCAACAAAACCGTGGACCTAAGTAAATGTACGGCATGATAAACAAATATTACAGATAATGACTATTTAAAGACACAAGGTAGATTAATAAAGTCAGGGCAAAGCACTAGCATAGGATAGTATCATTTTCCATATTGGTTGAAAGGAACTAAATCAAGCTGCTAAAAAGAAACTTAAGAAAGATTCAGATCGACAATTAACCTGGCGACGGTTCCGCTCAAGAATAGATTGCTCTTTGAATACAAGTTTGCATGAATATTGGCAATTCCCGCGAATGTGCATCAATCCATGGTGATCGCAATACACTTTACCAAGGATAAGATTATAAATATTAGTAGTTACCTGCAAAGAATGAAGTTCAAATAACTCATAGCACATATATAGAAATGGAAGCGCAGCACATCCAGTAAATATGCAGTTCAGTAGTGCACACCTTGCTCCACTGAAATATTTCACCATCCTCAAACTCCAGGGTTATAACTCCAACAGGTTCCAGCTGGATTGACCGCCCGGAAAACTTTGCACGGAGATCACTCTCACCCCAGATTCTCCACCCTTTGCCTTCACAATGAAAGGCAATAAGGGTTGGATGGTGACTAACCTGTTTCAACTTGAAAGGTAAGATATGTTCCATAATTTTTCAATTTCAGTATATGGCTGCATATTTCTTAGCATGGAGAAAGCTCTACCGATAGATCTTGAAGACTGACCTTCTCAGAGAAAAAACGAACGCCTCTTTCAGGATAGTCTGCCTCATAAGTTTCACCTAGTAAAGGATTGAAAGGCTTGCAATCCCGCCCTTCAGTCGAAGAATAGCCAGAAACAGCAAATGCAGCTACATTAACAATTCGCTGGAGACTGTTCCCCTGAGAATATAACAGAAAACCTAAACAGTCCATACAATCAGATTGCACGGATATAAACCAAGAACACCTGCTGATGTTCATCAAACCTTAATAACCATTTCAACAAGTCCAAAAAATCTAAAGAGGTACATGTAACATTACCTTCAAAAAGCTAGTAAGGAAAACTTGTTACAAAAGCTAATACAGATTTTCCATTATATTGTTTCTAGGTGACAATGTGCTTTCAAACTTACAACAGTTAAGAGCGAACAACAATTTGTCAAATCCTAAAATTCCTCATGTTGCAAGTTGTTTGAAAACTTTATAAATTTTTTATGTAACCTGAAGAGCAAAATTATTGTGCATATATCAAGAGAAACATGGAATATAATAATAAAATGCATGAATAGCTTACTTCTTTTCCATACTTGTATGCTTGGTCCAAAAGTTTCGAATATTCTAGGTCCTCAAAACATTTCTGAAGCGATGATATTGGTTCATTAAAGTAAACAGGAAGACAAACTCGTGTGAGATCCTTTCCCACACTGTCTTTGATCACAGACCAAAGGCTAACCTCTTTCTCTTTTAGAACTGGATCAGGGAGCTTTTTTCGCCTTTCGATTTGGGGATATCTGGAATCAGAATTTTCTTTATCAGCACACATATTTTCCACAATATCGAATAGATTTTCAGCTTCTTTCTGATTGTCTGCTTGATCAGCTGCCCCTCTTAAAGATCAACAACTAACACGAGTTCAGGATAACACAGTTTTTTGTCATAGAGGAAAGTTTCACCGTCACAAGACAATTCCTCAAGCTCTTGTTTCTCAATAACATCAGAACTTGAAGATGCATCTCCAAAAACAATGAGAGCAAGACTCGTATCCAGGCAACCTGTTCTCTCTTCGAAACGCTATTCAAATGAAGAGACTTTTGTATCAGTGAAAATATACAACCGTTAGATTTGCTCTCCAACTACAAGAATAAAATTATGTTATGCAATACTTCCCGATACAGTTGTATGATCGCAGAAGAAATACATGAATGGGACATATATAAAAATCCAGTTCCGAAAATGAAAAGAAATGCCATCAATTCAAGATAATGCAAATGGAAAGGCTCAAAATTAAAGCCTTGAGTGGTGAACCCCTCGGCAAGGTAGGAGCATTTTGCTAAAAAAATTCTATTATCGTCGGAAGAAGGACAAAGAATCGTAAACTCAAAAAAGGACGGCAACAAACAATAAGAACCCAATTCGGCATTTAAGAGACGTACTCCATCCTCGTCAACATACAATACTCATTCACCGTAAACATGAGAATTGAAATCACGGAAACGAAATAGAAAGAAATTAGAGAGAAATAGAAAGTTCAGAGAAGAAACTTACGATTAAAAAAAACTACATGAAAAATGCAAGAAACCTACGGTGGTTCTTGCTCTTCAATTTCCCAATTATCACCCCCTGTTTTCTTTTCTAATAGCTCAGATATCAATGCCTAACAATTTATATATTTTAGGGCACTAAAATTAGTATAAAATGGCATAATTGGTAACATCAGTTGGTTTTTTCGAATCAAAATATTAGCTATGTTACACACCTTCAAAAAAAATTAGCTATATTAGGATCTCGCTAAATAAATAAATAACATTAGCATCATAGTAAATGAAAATTTTCAGCCGATCGGTTGATTTATCACCGATTCACCTGTCAATATGACGTCATCAGTCGGAGAGAGGAGGTTTAGAGTCCCGACGGGTGAATCTTCTCGTAAGATAACACTTCATTATGAAACCAACATCTCCAATCTTTTCCGTAATTAGAGAATTCCGGCGACGGTGCCGTCAACCTTGCCGTATTCCTCGTTTCAGATCTCGATATGCACTTATGGATGCATGACCAACTATATCTATCACTGAAATGCGATCATAAGTTACTTTTCAAACATAAGTTCTCATCGTAAATTAACTATTCTTTAAAATTTGGATAAGTTAACACAATAGAACTTTGTTTTTTGTTTTCTCTCTTCGGAACCAATTTTGTATCATTCTATCCTCTTCTACTTCGTATTATAGCGCGGGGAATATTTGATTCACAGAAAAATTATTTGTTGGATAAAAATATATAATAATAATAATAAAAATATTCTAAATATATATATATATATGATTCTATCAATATGTTAGATATTACATATTTTCATTCCTTTTCAATTATATTGTTTTTAAGATTTTAAATTTGAATATTACAGAAGAAAGAAACAATCTAAAGAAAATTATTTTTTAAAAATTTAATCTAAGTCCACCAATTCACTTATCTTTCTTTTTCACCAATCGAATATCCAAAAATTAACTTTTTTGTTATTTCTCTCGATTATCCTGGTCTTTTTCTTTCAGTTTGCACCCTAAACTTTATTATTTCAATACTTGGTTTTTAGATTCCAATAATTTCTTCAATGTCATTTTCCTCCAATCAACTAGAGAATTAAATTTATTTAATTAAATTAATAAAAATTAAATATAAGATTATATAAATTTTATTAATTGTCATATTAATTTTTCTGTTAAATATTAACGACATAATTTAATTAATATTACTTAAATAATTAAATGATCTAATTAATAAAATTAAAATATCAATAGCTAAATTAAAATTCTCATGATTAAGTGATCATGAAAGATTCGAGTGAATAGGAACTTTTTGCCAATCCACATGTAAGATATCTATCGGGCACTGATGCTATATCATCAATTAACTAACGTCGACACAAAGCTTGGACAAAAGAACTATAAGTACCAAATTGTGAGAAATGAACAACTTCAAGGGCCAAACACATATTTAAGCCGAATGAAAAATGAAAATTCCACACCCACCTTTAACAAGTTAACGTCACAAAGCTAACAGCTAATAAAACGCACGAGCCGAACACCAGATTTTTTTCCCTTCCCTTTTCATTCACCGTTACTCGGTCAGATGAAGGGAAGGAGAGGGAACATATGCAAAAGATCCTCGAAGATAATACAATTATGACTTCTTCATGATATATCCCATAATTATGCCGAGCAAGCCGATGAGGACAACCACCATGAACGACACCCCGCCGCCGCTTTTGCTGCTTGAACGCTTCAAGAGTTCCTAACATTCGTAATATCATATATGTAAAGGCGTTTCAGAGATAATAAATGAGAAAGGGCTTGGTCATTTAAAAAGAAAAGGGCAGGGGAATCATATGAAATACAACCCATAAGATAAAGTCGAGGTCTATGCTCCTCACCAGTTCTTGGCGAAGCTTGTTGTTTTGTTGAATTGCATTATTTTTTTCTGCAGTCAGCTTCGATATAAGAGCTTTTGCCTGCAATTATGGAAAGTGTTATTGTTATTATACTTGCGATGCATCAACATTAATGCAATATATGTAAATGATAACAGAGCTTTCGTGCTCGGTGCTGCAAAAGCTGACTATGCATGCAATGTGCACATAAACGAGAAGAAATTGCCGGGAGCATTAAAAATAAAGAGCTTTACCGACTCTAGGTTCAATCTAGTGAACTCAATTGAACAAATTAACAATATAGATAAACCGGTGGGTAGATCTCTTCCAAAATATATCTTCCTTTGTCCAACTTATGGAATAGAAGTTTTACCAATAGAAATGACAAATTCAAGGAAGATGGGCTTGTGGGCAACCTTTTGCAGGTTTCTCTTATTCTTCTGAGTCTTTAAGAAGAGTAGTAACAATATAGAGTAGCACATGATTTATTAAAGTGCTGAGGTACCTTTATATATATATATATATGTCTGTGTGATCCACTTACACCGTAAAACTCATTAATATTACACAAAAATAGTCATTGGATGAATCTAAATGAATGGCTGAGATTAAAACAATGCGCATTAGCATTATCCTTTTTGTTTTCCAATTTCCACGGAAAATGGATAATTTTATTTTAGTCTCAGTCATCCATTTAGATTCATACAATTGCTATATTTTTATGTAAAACTAATGTGCATTAGCATTATTCTTATTCACTAAACAAAGTTCAAATTTCCAATATAAAATGAAGAGTGACAACCCCAACCCCCCAAACAAAAAAAAAGGGATGGTCAATATGGCAAAAAAAAAGTGTATTAATCTAGACAGTTGATACAGCCACTCTATGACAACTAGCTCAACAAAGGCTTGAATCAACACATCATTCAATATCAACATATTCCTAGTTCCTCTTAACCAATATTTACTTTTGGCCATCTAAAAATACTAGCTTAGAAAAAACCCGGATTCAACCAAAATGGTGTTACTACTTTATTTGGCTCCAGTACACCCAAAAGTCACAAATTGCTGAATGCTACCTATCTATCTTAAAAAATGTGGAGCCTTACAGACTAGAGAATCATAGCTTTAGACTCACAGACTCAATAACATATCTAGAAACTTATACATTTAGGTCAAAACAAATAGAATCAATTAATGAAAGAGCAACCGAGAAAGTAAATACAGATATTGAGAAAGTGGACCTTACCATCCAGGCTACCAAACATGATCTTATCAAGACAAATTAAAATCAATTGTGTATATGCAACAGCACAAAGTGACAGGAAATACAGAAGTCAATGTTACCTCGTAAGATTTATCTTGAGCTTCAAGTCCCTCAGAAAACGCTCTTGCAGCCTGCATTCAGAACAACAAGCACACTATTAGCATCCAAAAATAAAATACAGAAAAAAATAGAAATAGTAACAAAAAGAATGTGCAGCAAGTCTCACGGCAGCAAACTCGGCAGCATTTGCATGTCCATTGTCAGAACCTCTTGGTGGAGACCCTTCTTCTGACCCTTCGCGTACAGGTGAAGGTGGTTGAGGTGGAGAAACATAAACCACTCTCAACTTAGACTCCTCAACCTCATGCCCAGCTTCCTTGTTGAACTTCAGAAATGGATATTCCCATAAATCATAAATTCTAAAACCAAAGAAGCAAGTACTGCTGTGTAATATAGACTATTATATACCATTTCTGCAGTTATATCCTTTGCAGTAGCACCATCATTAGCCTTTACACTTTGAAGGAGGAATTTATCCCTGCATTGCATATCGGGAGGAGCCTCTTTTTGCGCTTGCATGGTAACTAAAATAAAATCAACAAATCTTTTAGAAGCAATCCAGAACCCAACAAGGATAAAAACAGAAAGCTGCAAACTTTCAAGCAAAAATATAATTAATTTACTGTACCAACAACATCACATGTGGATAGAGGCAAAACGACCCCTGTATTGGGACGAACACAGTATTTCTTTGGATTCGTCGTTTTCACCTGAAAAGGAAATCAGTTAAGTCAAAAGGAAATCTAGGATTCCCAAATTTGAGACTTAAACATTATAATTTCAAATTTGCAGGTTCAAATTCTTCAATCATTATATTACCCGGCGACCAAACACAACATATAAAAAGTAAGAAGACTATGATAAATCCTAGATAAAAAATTATAAAAATAAGTAAATAATACTAAAATCGAATTTGGAAATCAGAAAATGAAGAAGCATACCTTGAAAGCTACATAATTGTCAGTTTTATTCGACAATTGAAGTTCACACGAGATCTGCTTCCTCGGCTCAACTATTTCATCAAAGAAAATCAAAACTAAAACCTAGAAAACTGAAATCGCAGATCCACAAGAAAAAAAAGGGGGAGAGAGAAACTTACAAGGAAACTTGAGCTCTAATGGTTCGATGCTGAGAAGCTCGCCCGTGCTCATTTCGAAGCAGTGGCTTAGATTGAATTATTTGAAGGGGAAAAAAACAAAAAAGAAGAAAGGAACCTCTTTCGAAAGGATCTGAGAAGGAAA